GGGCGTGTGGGGGTGGGATTAGGTGCGTGTGGGGCGGGGCCAGGAGCGTGCGGGGCTGGGGCATATGGGGCGGGGCCAGGGGCGTGTGGGCGGGGCCAGGGGCGTGCGGGGCTGGGGTTGGGGTTGTGGGGCGGGGCCAGGGGCGTGCGGGGCGGGGTTAGGTTGTGGGGCGGGGCCAGGAGCGTGCGGGGCGGTGGCTGCCCTCTCCTCCCGCCCTCAGGCACAGCTCCTGGAAACAGCCCACTGAGCAGTTGTGTGTGACGTTGGCTGCGCATGAAACCCCCCGCGGAAGTTTTGTTTGTTTTGTTTATTTATTTTTGAGACAGAGAGAGACAGAGCATGAGTGGGGGAGGGGCAGAGAGGGAGACACAGAATCCGAAGCAGCTCCAGGCTCTGAGCTGTCAGCACAGAACCCGACGCGGGGCTCGAACCCACGAACCGTGAGATCATGACCCGAGTGAAGTTGAACGCTCAACCGACTGAGCCCCCCAGCTGGCCCCCCCCTCCCCAGAACTTTTAAAACATGAGCAGCCGTAGCGATCCGCGTCCTGTCCCTCTGGGCCCGGCCGGGCCTCGCAGGGGTGGCTTCAGAGGAAAGAGAGGGTGACTCTCAGCTGAGTGAGAGCCGTGGCCCCACAGCTCGGGCCGCCCGGCTTTTCCGGAAGGGGTCAGAGTGTGACTGTTGTGCTCTCTTGTGTCGCATGAAAGTGGCTGTAAGTGTGTGACACGTGCGGTTCTGTTCCAAGAAGACCTTAGTTACAGGAAGCTGGTGCGTCGGATTTGGCTCAAGGCTGTCGATTCCTGACACTTGCTCTGGAAGATACAAAATGTTAGTTTCCTATTTTATTGAACAATGGTAAAATCTGAAGAGATCGCTGTGGTTTTCCATGATACAGTGAAAAGCGTGTAGGATTTGAAGCCAGAAGCCCTGGGTTCGAATTCTGCTCTGAATCTGCTGTGTGGTCTGAGGGGAGTCGCTTACCCTCCCCAGTCCTGCCTCGGAGAAAGGGGACAGTGAGAACATCCCGCGCGGGATGCTTTTAAAGGTCAAATGGAACACGGTCCGTGAAGGTGCTTCACGAGGTGCTGGGGACCCACTGCCCGTTCTCACCATGCCGGGCGCTGCGCGTCCGGTAAGTTCGTGCGTGATAAACACGACATATTTAAAAGTGAAGCAAATTAGAACATTTGAACTTAAACGTAATGTAAGCATGAAGACTGAGAAAAATGAGTTCTAGGTTATGCCTTTCTATTTTCTTGAGCCAGCAAAGTGATTTTAGGTGGTAAACGCTGCTTTTAAAAGAAGATGGTATAAATATATGTTTTTCCAAAGTGGGATTTTCTGGAGAAAGATTGATTGATCATCATCAGGGTGGGGAAATCAGTCCCAGGCGGGTGGGAAGCTACGGGATGGGGAGGGCAGGGGTGGGAGCGGAGAGGAGGCCTGGGAAGGGCCTCGGGGAAGAGGGAGGGCAGGAAAGGAAGCCGGGGCAGGGGCAGGAGGGGCCTGGGTGCCCTGGGGCCGTGGCGGTGTAGGGGGGGGAGGGGGAAGGCGGGGGGGGGGGCACGGCGGCCTGGTCTTCTCTTTCCCTGCGCCCCTGTGTGTGTCCCCCGCTGAGCCGTGAGGCGGGCACCAGGCCACCTGTGCCGAGATGCTCCGCATAAGGCTGACGCGTGTGCGGGACGCAGACATGAGCAGCCCTGCGCCCTAGAGACCAGGAACCGTGCCTGCGTTCCTCAGATGTTAAAAAGCCACCTCCTCCTGGGAGCCTGTCCTGACCACCTCCTTTCCTTCCAGTTCTGGGTCTGGCCCTGTCCTGCATCACACCCGGCTTGCCCTGCAGTGGCCCCTGAGCTCGTCCCGCCTGCGGCCCCACTGGGCGCTGAGCTCCAGCTGAGTCCAGCGCGGATGTGCACTTGCACGGAGCCAGCGCCTACAGGGTCGCTTTCTGCTAAGTGAGTGTGCGGGCGACTGCGCGTCAGCCAGCTGTCTGAGAGCCGGGCACTAGCTGTGAGCTTTGTCGTCTTCTCTGTCCACGCTGCTGCTGCAGGGGGAGATTTGGTCCCTTCTGGCGGACTTCAGCGTCCCCAGGCTCTGGGGCGGCTGCCGGTGGTGGTGACTGTGGTGATCATGGTGGTGACAGCGGTGGTGACACAGTGGTGACCACGGGGGTGATGCAGTGGTGGTGACCGTGGTGGTGGTGACGCAGTGGTGGTGATGGCAGTGGTGACTGTGGTGGTGACCGTGGTGGTGACCATGGTGGTGGTGACGCAGTGGTGGTGATGGCTGTGGTGACCGCGGTGGTGACGCAGTGGTGGTGACTGCACATCCTTCGTTTCTCGGGAGGCACCTCTTTCTGTGTGTGTTTTGCTGGTGCCCCGCAGCCGCAGGCCCTCCGCACTCCCCAGCCCACCCTGCAGGGACCTCGGGGGCGACCCTGTCTACACTTGCTGTGGATGCCGGGCCGTGTGTCCCGCCTCGTGCAGAAGCCCAGAGACCCGGGTCTGCTCCTGGTGGAGGCCACGCTCTCTCTCCAGCCTCTGCCCCCCCGGCCTCCGCGGCCCCTGGGAGCCGTGCTGCCCGCGTCTTCCCTCCCGCGTGTCAGAGAGGTGCGGGGTGGGGGTGGGGCCCAGAGCCCTCGCCGCGGGGGGTGTGGTGGCGGCCGCGTGCCAGTCTCCCAGCCCCAGACGCCCAGGGGCCCACGAGTTTGGAGCGGCCTTGGCAGCGGCGGGAGGGGAGACCGGGCCCACGGCTGCTTCTCAGATGAGCTGCGAGCTGACCTGTCTCTTCCCTTGGCACCTTTGTGGGTCTCGGCTCCATGGAGAAGGTGGCGCTCGCCATCCAGCCGCTGAACGGGAAGGTCCTCCACCAGCGGCAGCTGTGTGTGAGTTCCCACAACAGGCCTCCTGGGAGGGCCCCCCCCCCCAGGGTGGAGGGACCCCAGGGGCTGCCTGGGAGCCTGGCCGTGCTCCCGGTCCGTGCTCCCGGTCCACTCTTCAGAGTTTGGCGGACTCTGGTCTTCCTTCTTCCATCCTCCTTCAGTCTGGTCTCACTGTGGAGAAGGCAGGGGCTTGGCTGAAATTAGGGAACGTGTATGACCTTTAACAGTCAGGACCAAGGTCACGAGCAGAAATGTTAGGATTTTTGCGTAAAGAGAAGCCTGTCTTCTCAGCGAGGATGAAAAGTGTTGCTGGGCAGTTTGGTCAGGACTTTTTCAGCTTGGGCTGAAAACTGTAAAACTGAAGTTTTACTTCTTGAATGTAGTGAGCATTAATTGAGTATCTATTGTTTGCACGGACTTGTCCTGGCTGCTGGCCTGAGAGGAGGACAAAAGTGAGTAAAAGCGGTCTTTCCCGGCAGGAAGATCAGTCGTGCCCACTGAGCAGGGAAGGCGCAGAGCCAGGCCCCAGGGGCGTCCCGGGGGAGGCGGGCCCGTTCTCAGCAGGTAGAGGGAAACTGGGAGCCACGGACCCACCTGAGAGCCTGGATCGTTAGGGCCTGGCTGGGCGCCTTCGTGGGGGAATCTGAAGCAGGGTGACAGAGTCCAAGGCTGGTGTCAGGTCGGGACAGGAAGAAGGGGAGCGGGGGAAAGCGCCTTGTCCTCAGGGGAGCCACCCCTCAGCAGCCTGGGCCACGACCACGCTTCTGTTTTGTTGGACAGACTGTAACTCATGGTCTTAAGTGGAGGAGGCCCGAAAACGTGGCTTTAACATCAGGCACATAGTTGCCAAACCCGAGGCCTGTCCGCAGGGCACAGGGGAGTGGGACAGGGAGGCTGGGAGCAGGTGCAGGGGGGAGTGGGGTGGGGAGGCTGAGGGTGGGCGCAGGAGGGAGGGGGGCAGGGAGGCTGGGAGTGGGCGCAGTGGGGAGTGAGACAGGGAGGCTGGGAGCAGGTGCAGGGGGGAGGGGGCGGGGAGGCTGGGGGTGCGCCGCAGGGGGGAGGGGGGAGGGGGCTGGAGGTGGGGGGGCCGGCTGCGGATGCTGAGAGGTGGGGCCCGCTCTCTGACGTCCCCTGGCAGCGAGCCTGGTGGGCATAAGAAAACCCAGCCCGACGAAGTTGCCCTCCTGCGTGCCGCGTGAACCTCGTGCTGGTGACGGGCGGTGGAGAACCTGGCCTGCGATGACACAAGATCCGCCACCTGAGTGCGTGACGCAGAGGTGGACGAGGTGGCCCGGAAGGGAGGCACCTCACCTGAGGGAGTGAACCCAAGTTTAATGTATTCGTTTCTTTTAAGCGTGTCCTCTGCTCCCTTCGCCGACTCGGGGGCCCGGCTGCCTGGGCTGCGCCGTCTCGTGTGTGGATTTCCCTCCCGGGGCCCGCGGTGGCGAGTGCGGGCCCTGGATTCCGACAGACGGAGGCTCTGCGCGCCCTCCAAGCTCTGTTCCGTCACGTCCGAAATGGATGTTGGCAAATGGTGCCCACCCAACAAGGGGATCGTGGGAAGCTGAGGAGACGGCTCAGATAAGGCGGGCGGCTCGAGGG